AAGATATAAAAAGATAAAGCATTACAACAACTTCAATGTAAACTTTCTCATTCGATGTCGTCTTCAACACATCACAGTGATAAACATTACGAAGACGAAAAACGAAGAAAGTGAAATATGAAAAACTATGGTAAAAAATGAAAGATATAAAAAGATAAAGCATTACAACAACTTCAATGTAAACCTTCCCATTCGATGTTGTCTTCAACACATCACAGTAATAAACATTACGAAGACGAAAAACGGAGAAAGTGAAATATGAAAAACTATGGTAAAAAATGAAAGATATAAAAAGATAAAACATTACAACAACTTCAATGTAAACTTTCTCATTCGATGTCGTCTTCAACACATCACAGTGATAAACATTAAGAAGACGAAAAATGGAGAAAGTGAAATCTGAAAAACTATGGTAAAAAATGAAAGATATAAAAAGATAAAGCATTACAACAACTTCAATGTAAACTTTCCCATTCGATGTTGTCTTCAACACATCACAGTAATAAACATTACGAAGACGAAAAACGGAGAAAGTGAAATCTGAAAAAATTATGGTAAAAAATGAAAGATATAAAAAGATAAAGCATTACAACAACTTCAATGTAAACTTTCTCATTCGATTTCATCTTCAACACATCACAGTGATAAACATTACGAAGACGAAAAAACGGAGAAAGTTAAATATGAAAAACTATGGTAAAAAATGAAAGATATAAAAAGATAAAGCATTACAACAACTTCAATGTAAACTTTCTCATTCGATGTCGTCTTCAACACATCACAGTGATAAACATTACGAAGACGAAAAACTAAGAAAGTGAAATATGAAAAACTATGGTAAAAAATGAAAGATATAAAAAGATAAAGCATTACAACAACTTCAATGTAAACTTTCTTATTCCATGTCGTCTTCAACACATCACAGTGATAAACATTAAGAAGACGAAAAATGGAGAAAGTGAAATCTGAAAAACTATGGTAAAAAATGAAAGATATAAAAAGATAAAGCATTACAACAACTTCAATGTAAACTTTCCCATTCGATGTTGTCTTCAACACATCACAGTAATAAACATTACGAAGACGAAAAACGGAGAAAGTGAAATCTGAAAAAATTATGGTAAAAAATGAAAGATATAAAAAGATAAAGCATTACAACAACTTCAATGTAAACTTTCTCATTCGATTTCATCTTCAACACATCACAGTGATAAACATTACGAAGACGAAAAAACGGAGAAAGTTAAATATGAAAAACTATGGTAAAAAATGAAAGATATAAAAAGATAAAGCATTACAACAACTTCAATGTAAACTTTCTCATTCGATGTCGTCTTCAACACATCATAGTGATAAACATTACGAAGACGAAAAACGAAGAAAGTGAAATATGAAAAACTATGGTAAAAAATGAAAGATATAAAAAGATAAAGCATTACAAGAACTTCAATGTAAACTTTCTCATTCCATGTCGTCTTCAACACATCACAGTGATAAACATTACGAAGACGAGAAACGAAGAAAGTGAAATATGAAAAACTATGGTAAAAAATGAAAGATATAAATAGATAAAGCATTACAACAACTTCAATGTAAACTTTCTCATTCGATGTTGTCTTCAACACATTACAGTGATAAACATTACGAAGATGAAAAATGGAAAAAGTGAAATCTGAAAAACTATGGTAAAAAATGAAAGATATAAAAAGATAAAGCATTACAACAACTTCAATGTAAACTTTCTCATTCGATGTCGTCTTCAACATGCAAAAAGTCTGTGAACCAAATTTCACAGTGATAAATACTATGAAGATGATAAAACGGGGAAAGTAAAAAATGAAAACATAATGATTATAAAATTTCTTCACAGATGAAGGAGACAAAGAGGACCAGTAAAGGAGACTCCTTTAGAAAAAATGATTACTCTACGAAGTATACCATATTTGTGAAGAAAACTGTGTAAAGGTAAGAAGATCGACAATCGTCTACACCTTCGACCACATTGAACCTTACATTACCTTATCGAAGACTTGCTGAGAGAGTGTAAGAGTTAGGTTTAACTAAAAATGCGATTATGAGGGGAAGAGTTTTATAAAATGAAAACATGAAGAGTAGCAATTGTTAAAAATAATGAGAAGAAATACAAATATAGACATGCATGAGAAATGAAGGGGTTCATCTTAAATGAAATGAAGAGAAACGGAGAGACCAAAAAATGGAAACGAAAAGTTGTGTTTTCTAACGAATAGAGGAAATGAATGAAAGGAGAAAAAATGAAATGAAAAAATGAGCTTTTTCTGGAAGAAACTGTTCAGTGGAGAAAGTGGGAAGGGTAAAATTACGTTGTTAACCCTTCCCAATGTGTTGTGGTTTTCAAAACAAAGTCTCTTCTAGTAATTGTAATTTTGTCATCATTACTTTCAGAAAATTCATAAAAAGTGTAATAATTGTTACCGCAAATGACCGAAATATCTCCAACATTCAAAATTAAATATAAAGAAACTTTAGGACATTATAGTAAAATAGAATTATTAATGTTTATTAATAAAATAATTATTGTTGACTTACTTCTTTATTTTTAATTTTTAATATAATTACTTTTTTATCCCTGTAAAAAACAGGTGTCAAGAATATAGAATTCTATAATAGTAAATTTGTTAGTCCTTTCAATTTTTATATAGTAATAGATGTATTATTGTGTAATTAATATTTTTCCGAAAAAATGTCCCTAATGTAACCTTTACATACTCATTCGTCCTTCAAGTAATTTATCACCTTAAATTTACTCATTGTTTGACATGTGACTTATTTTTATTTTTATAATATATTTTAAAATTAAAGCTTCTAAACATAAGAGAAATAAGACCATGTCAAATAATGAGTGAATTTAAGGAGATAAATTATCTCCTAATGTAAGAAGATATTTTATTCTCTTTTAATAAATATGTTCAGTCTCATAAAATAAAGTTATATTTGGTAGCAAGAGTAATGCCGTCTATCAAATCTTGCATGACTCAAACAATATTTTCTAGAGTTGAAGTTAATCCAAATATGTGAAAACGATTTATATACTGATAGGATAAAATATTTTTACATTATTACTGTATTATTCAATGTTCATATTATTTTATCATATATTATTGACTCTGAAATAAAAGTAATATAAATGAATGATGAATGATATATTGAGTGTATATAAATCTTTATATTTCCAGTTTATAGATATTGCACTAAAAAATAAAATATACTGAGATAGGTGCAATTAAAGAATCCACCAACAATTATTCATTTATAGGGTGAAAATACTTCAAATTAACTACAGAACTAAAGTTGAACTATAATAATAGAGATGAAATTCCTTAATCAAAGTGCCATAAAAATGTTAAGTATCCCAGCATAAAATGTTAAGATATCAACTACCTGCTACATCATCGATCATTTCATTTAAAATATAGAATTTAATTTCTATACCATGCATATATATAATCATCAAGTAATTGATAAATGGTTAATAAATATCGGAAACAACAGGCGCATAAACATAATATTATTGCACATTATGAAGGGGAAATGATTGAGTGACTTTGTATGGTGAATAATTTTGGTGAAAGATGGATCTCAAAAGTACCAGATTTTGATATTTGATATTTGACACTCATATACTCTTTCTGGTTTGAGAGAAGAAAATGAAAATAACTAATTGGGAAAAACAATTGGAGAAAAAAAGAAAATAATAAATAGATTTGTTAGTTATTTTATACGAGAGAAAATGAATAAAAATGAGACAAATATATATTGAAACATGAGAAGAGATTAATGAATAAAATTGTTAGAAGAAAATTATACCACTTTATAATATAAGAAAATTGACTTTTTTCATTTGATCCAAAAAATTAAATATGTCCTAATAACCTTGACATATTTTTCAACAAGTTTCACAGTGGTTTTTCTAGTAAATCTATATTGAACACATGACACATCTAAATGGTTGAAACCAAGACCATGTCGTATAAATCCAATATTCAATTTGAAAAGACCACAACTGATTTCATAGATCAATTGGAACCATAAAAACACTCATATTCATTGACACAAAATTAAACTATATTTGTTCTTCTCAGTCAATTCAAAATAAGAATCTTCAACTGAAGCATATTCCAGCCAAATTAATTTTAGATTGAATACATTCTCCAAAGCCTCCATCCCTACAAGGCTACAAGATTCTGCGTTCTCACCGATCAACTCGAAGTTCTGGATTTCAGCACTTTGGTCACCCGACCTCGGTTTAGGGCGAACGTTAGAGAATAATAGTATGTTTGTTAGTCTAAGGTAGAGAGTTTTGTATTCTGCCACTTAAGCTATTAATCTTACCTCTAACTCTATCAATAGAGCTTGGTCTTTGTTGTAACAAACTAATCTTTCTAATAACAAAAAAGAAAAGTTTTCCAGTTATCAATACCCTCTCTATCATTATATCTAAAAGAGAGCACTCCTACCCATTAACACCCTTAAAAAATTGAAATTACATTGGTGACCAAAGAATGTGTTCTCGGTAAACAGGAACTTTTTACCGGTAACGTGGATCATGTAATGCTAGACACTGCACAGCTTCCTTAGATGATTCCGTTCGTGTGTCTATTCACTGGAAGTCTGGCACTGGTTGGTCTGTGAGTTCCAGTCATCGAGAAGCGCCGAAACAGACTCCTCGAGCTTCTTTGCTTGAGGGCCTGGCTTCAAAACATTGACGTCACCCCATTGGGAGCATGGATCCATCCACCAGCTCCTCCGGCCAGAACACCATGCCCCTGGGACAACCCGATTACGCCCACGATGGAGAATCTTTTTATCAATCATGTCTAGAACGGAGTCATCAGCATCAAACTGTCTAGCAAATGCAGCTCCACTTTCTACCATCTGACCGTAAACAGAGACTTTGAGGGCATGTGGTTCCATCTGTGGAGGATTGTCCCAGATCATATACCGCAAGTCACCATTTACGGTCGTGTTCTTGAATTTGGGTGCATTGCAAATGACTGAGTGGAAGTAACCTTCTTGGGATAACTTAACATTTGTAAAATACATCAGGAGTGTTCGAGGTAGATTATCCCAGCCGAAAAGGCAAAACTCCAGGAAGGATCGGTTCAAGATGACCCATTGTGAACCTGCAAGGAAAGGAAAGTATTCAACATACAAACCCTCACAGCATAGAATGCATAGCACAGATAGCATAAGAAAGCGTAGATTTGCCTGTGAAAAGTTTGAACGCATTAGGTGTCTCCCGCTTCTGTGTAGCTTGAAAAATTTGACTTCTCCTTGCTAAATATGTTCCAGGGTCAACTACAATAGGCTGGAATCTATCACTTCTGCATAAGTAAAACAAGTATAAATATATGATCTTGTTCTAAATGAAAAAAGTGAAAGATGTAGCAGCGAGAATTAGCAGTAGTTCATTACTCTTTCCATCCAAGATCACTGGTGTGTTCAATGAAATTTAGGTCCCTCCGAACTGTAGAGAAGACATGAGACAAATCTGATACAGATAACGAGATTAGTATGTTGGATACATATGCATAGAGTACATTTGAGAGTTCACTTCAACACCAACATTTTACATTAGTATACCCCAGAGAATATCCTTTTATGCTTTAAGAGATCAAATATTACTCTATTCAGTAATGCTAGCAATATACTCTTTAACACACTTTTCAACACACTCTGTTGTTGGTTGGGTTTCATGTGGGACCCACCAAATAACATGGACTCATGGACCCACTCTCTGTTTAGCAATAACATGTGCTCTACTCTATTTGGTATTTTCTTGATGCTTGCCTTATAAAACTATCATTCACATGGTTTTCTAAAGGATTCATGTGCACATTGTCCATTTTCCATTATCAGTTTATAGGAGCTTCCATGAAGCTCTCGTGATCTCTAGCATTTTGAAGATGGACAATGTTCTTAAGATATGCATCTACAAGACTACAACTAATAGTACTAAGTCATAAATATAAATATATATCAGACTATCAGAGTGTAACATATATAATTGTTTCCTTTTTAGCCAGAATCATAAAGATAGTGTCTCAATCTAATACTTAAACTTCTTCTAACACTTCTTCACTTGAGCATGCTGTCACTTCTTCCAGTTTATAAGGATAGTTGAGAATATCACTCCAATAAGAACTCCATACCAACAGTCTTACTAAATCTTTCAGTATTCCAACTTATTAAATCAAGACCCAATAAGAAAGACTACACATTTGGAAGATATAGTTTTCTCCATGATGAGATTTTGGCAACTGTAAACATTCAAGATATTCAATTGCCATCCACCTAAGCCTAAATCTTATAGCATATGCCGACTAAGAACAATAAACTTAAATCACCTTACCACACACACTCTATCTGGAGTTTCTACCAAATATGATTACTTAACAAGATAGATGAAACTATTATCTAAATCTAAATTAATTACTACTGAAATGAGGATGTTGGCTCAGCTTTTATCTACTTTTCCTTTCTACTCCTATCAATTTCCAGATAAAATCAAAATTATGGAAATCCAAAATTCAAGCATATAGTAAAGAAATTTTGGGGAAACAATAATTACCTTAGGCACAAAAAATATGAATACTTATACATATATTCATGATATTCATATCAAAGAATCAATAGTAAGAACAGAAACAATAAGAAACCATTATTCTTTAATCTAGTATAAGCAAAACGAGAAGGCATGCCTCTTAGACAAAGCTCCTTCATTCTAACTATCAATTCTAAGAAATCAACTTTCCAATTTATATCACATTTCAAAATTCCAAAAACAAGTAAACCCAAAACAAACAAATGAAACCAAAAGAAAGCTTCTAAAAACTTATAGAAACTTTCCAGTGATCATCAAGCCACTTCACAGATAACAAAAACCTTAACAGTGAACCATAGTTAGTACCAATTCGGTATATGTGTGTCGTCACATTTTACAGTATTATGCAGAACAAAGAAGCAAAATGCGCAATGTGAAAAGACTAAACTGCGAACCTAAAAGCTATACAATGAATTATAAAAAAAATCAAATTCACAGAGCAAAACTGTAAATCAATGAACCAAAACAGAAATTATCATATTGGCATTACCATCCTGGGTAATGAGGGGATAATCGCGTGCACTCAAAGTTACAAACCAATTCCATCCATTATCCAACTTCATCATAATAGCAGCAGCCCTAAGAGTTATAGCAACATTGGATGACCCCAAATGGGTGACATAATCAGCCTTCCCCACCACATCTGCATTCCCGAAAGCCCGAATCGCGGGCACGGACATAACAGCAGCAGCCAGACCCTGCCTCTCTTCATCACTTGCATCCATTCCAAGATGAAGCAAGTACCGATTCCTGGGATGATACACTGACAGCAACAACCGAAAGATCCGTTTTTTGTCTCCATTTCCACCAGTTATGAAGTAAGCAAATGCAGGAGGGTAGTGAGAACCATGCTGAACATAAGAAGGTAAAGGCTTTGGGGAGGTGAAGATAGAGAATGAAGAGAACAAGAGGAATGTGAGGGAGAAAAATGCTACAGTGAAAAGGGTGAAGAGCCATTTCCTCTCAACACCCATTAAAAGCACTACTAATGAGGATCAAAATGGAACCTTATAGCATATAGTTATGTGTGTAATTATGGCTTGTTCTTCGTGTATTGTAAAAAAAAGAAAGCAATTTGAGAAGTGGGTTTGACAAAATTCTAGATTTTGATGTTGTTTGGGTTAATGGGTCATTGAAGATCTTGTCTTTATTACTTGATATTGATGGGCATGGAAAATATCAAAGTAACTAGAATGAAAAAAAGGGAAAATGTTGATTTCAAATATGAAAAAACCAGATCAGAAAGTTCCAATTTTTTTACCAGAATTGCATTTTCTTTCTAATTCTGTATACGTGTTGGTCTTGGGAGAGGTAGGGTTTGTTCAAATGTTAGATTTGTATGGTTGGGTCTCTGAAGAAAATGGAGATCATGGATTAATTTCCCTTCACACTCTTTCTATGGCATCAATCTCACTCACTCATATATATTAAAAATTAGTGTACACACTTATGAAATAACTTTCCTCTATTCCTTCAATTTATTACTGAGCATTGTTTAAATCTACCGTTCAGATATATTTCTTTATTTTATTTATAGACTGTGTTAGTTTCTTTCCTTACCACCACAAGTGCCCAGGTTCAAAATCAGCCAATGGTTTTGTTAAAACGTTTATACAGTGGTAAAAGAACTTACTTTTATCCTTACATATCATATTGATAAAATATTAAAAATTTAATTTTTTTGAACGATATTTATTAAGACAACATTCAACTTAAAACATGATTGTTTGTTATCTATAAGTTTGAGAAAAGGATACCTTGATTATAAGAACAACAAAAAATGAGATTATACTAAATTATGATAACCAATACATCCATAACTAAATTGTATAAATAAATAAAATACTTTTTTATTTTTTGAATATTATAATATTGTAATTTTATCCTTATTTAACAATGTTTTTTAAGAGGTAGTTTTAATGACAACAAAAATAAATAGAGATAATTAATAATTTTAATGATAACAAATATAGAAAAATAGTAAATATTACATAAAAATATTAAATTTCTTGTATGGTGATAATGAAAACTAAATTTGTAGGTATCGGTTCAAACTTAATCTAATTTTAATGGGAAATTTACCGTGATTCAGTTCAGGTTTTATTTAAGTTCAATTTCCCGGTTCAATTTTGATATAATTGTCACTCTCAATTTATATCATTTTCAGGAATGAAACTCTTGAATTTAGGGTAATTTTGTAGATCTGACTGGACTCTATGCTACTATAACAAACCTTATTGATAAGTACACCATAAATTAGGAAATAAGTTCAGCTTGATTTTTGGTTTGGTCCCTGTCTATTTTATAAGAGAACTGATCCTTAAATATTAATTGCTGATAAGAAACAGAATGTCACATCACCTTGCACGTGTGTAAATATAATGCAAGGTGGCGAGCATGCATAATCCGACCTAGGAAATTGAAAAATGTATATGAACTTATGAAGTAACAATTAAAATTCACCAACCAAGTGCATTTAAGTAATACAACATTGTTTTATAAAAACCTTTTTGTTTTTCTAATATCTACCAAAGTAGGACTCTTTATTATTATTATTATTATTAGAAGCATTTCACAATTTTATTAATATCCTACATCAACCATTCTGCACTTCAGTCTTCCTCTTCCTTCTCTGTGGTATGATTGCATCTACTCCAACCATGCGCAATTAATTACATATATAATGAATGAAATGGGCAATGTCAACTTAATTAGTGTATACATACCCATATCCATTATTGGATAATGCTTCATATTTAAACATAGGAAATAGATTTACGGTAAGTATCATGCATTGTCCTATTCAAGATTAGGCCAATATACGGATATTTATTGAGCTATGACATCGTTTGATTCATGTAGCGAGTAGACTCGTCATGTCTATTATTCCACCTACTATCATCTCATATTTATCCCTAGTTCTTTTTTTTTACAAGACACTACTATATATCTCATTAGAACAAGTATCCCTTCTTTGATTGTGAAACGATCGATGTTATAATTGTGAAGTCAATACCACCAACACAATAGTAATAATAGCAGGAATTGAAGTAATATTAGCAACATAGATTTGACACGTTAAAGCCCCTGGAATGTAAAGAACGGAACAATATCTTATCTTCTTGTGGACACTGAAAGATTGTAGCTCATCTACTATAAAGGATCAAATACATGTGATTGAAAGCCTGAAAGAACATGAATGGATCGTAAGTGATTTATATACTTTTATTAAAAAATTATAACTATAACAAAATCAACAAAACATGATTTGTAATTTTGCATATTAAAAAATGAAAAGGATAATAAGTTATATGGAACGAGGAAATAGATTATATGATATTTTTAGTATAAAATATAGATTAGTTATGGCAAAATAGGAAATAATAAATTACATCAAGGATAATTATTTTGTGTTTTCCTTTTATATAGTAGTATAGATACAACTCACACATTGGAACTAATAGCAAAACAAAAGGGTTTACATAACAATATCATGAAACAAATGTCAAATAACGTTTTGGTTTTGGGCCTAGTTGGTTCTACATGCGTATCCATGTCTTTTTTCATTTTTGCCTTGGATCATCCAAGTCATCTATGCATATGACACCACATCTATGATAATCAAGAGTCTAGTACTAGATGAGAATTGTGGCATA